AATCTTGATCGATAGAAGGGGCTTTCTATTACATAACATAAAGGATGGGAATGAAGAAAAAGCACCCACCAGCCATGATTTCCAAGCAAAATGTTCCAACCAAGTCTCTTCCAAGGTGAAAATCAAATGAACTTCAATGAGTATGTCAAGCCTCAAAATTGCTCCTTCTCCCTGGGCACTAATTTGCCCTTGACACCGGTAGTAGTGGGTCTTCAACCTTATGTTGCAACACCATTTCCTGAGTTTGCACTCTTAAAACTATGCTTGGTGGACTTGAGTAAGAAAACAAAATACAAAATTCCCCTTTCGTTTAACCACTTCTCATCTTGTCTAAGTGACAGAAGTTCAGTAAAATTATTACATGCATTGAGAACAATAGCATCAGCGATCTAATGAAGCATTTGCATGATCACTTTTTTTGTAAGACATTTGCCCGATCACTCTTAACTACAGTCACAAAGATATCCACAAGACATTGTAAAAAACAATTGATTTCAAGCACACCACATGAACAAGAATAATCCCTTCCCTCCCACATGTTGATTAGCTGCTACAAATATTTGTTTTTGTCCTATTTTTATTTTTGTTCCAATGTTAGCTTTCATTGAAAAAAAATGAAAATATACAAAAAGATGAAAAGCACGAGCCATAACCAACCTTAACTAAATTACCTTTAGAAAAAAAAACAACTGTTGGTGGTCAACAAATAATGGATGACTAATAAAAGTTTCAATGTTTGAACCCAAATGAAGGCCTCAAAAAATGACCAAACTTCACACCTCCACGACTTATAAACCCAAGACGGTTCCCCTTTTTCCCACAAGTTGCCAAAACATTTGCTGTTGTTGTTAATCATATTGTCATGCGATTAACAGAAAGTTAGGGCAACTAATAGGGGAGCACAGAAACATGAACTCCCTAGTACAGATTTAAGAATGCATACCATATGAAATCCTAGTGGCAAGACCGAAATCTGCAAGCTTTATCCTTCCGGATGTTGTGAGAAGAATATTTTCAGGCTTTATGTCTCTATGTACAACCCCCATATCATGACAATACTTTATAACCAACATCACTTCCTTGAGTATATTAGCTGCTCGATGCTCTGAATATTGACCTTCACTCACCATCTGATCAACCAACCGGCCTCCGCGACACAGCTCCATAACAAGATGAAAACATTCTGCCTCCTCGTACACAGCCAGCAATGTCACGACACCTGGGTGGCCAGATAAGTGCTGCATTATCTCCACCTCCCTATGAACAGTCTCTTCTCCCTTTTTCAGGGTCTTGCAAGCATACTCGGCTCCACTGACCCTACATTTACAAAGCCAAACTGAACCAAATTTTCCATGCCCGATGGTCTCACCTGAAACATAATCGTTTTCAATGTTATGTTTCCGACCAATTTGGGTAGCCACATCTATGCACCCGATCTTCCTTTTCAAACCTCTACCAGGAAGAATCAGAGACGAACTTCCACTAGGTGGAGCTGTAGCTATGCCTGCAAACCTACTCTTACAGGAAAGAACTGGTTCGATACCCACATCTTCCTTGCACCTTTTATTCAACCTCGTGTAATCTTCAAGCGAATAGTGAGACTTAAGTTTAGAGGATCGCGAATCATGAGTTTCTGTCACATTTTCTTTTAGATTTGAAGGTGCGTCAGCCTCGCTTCCTTTCCTTTTCTTCCTCATCAAAACAAATTAATCAACAGTTCTTATCAACGAGTCCAGACAACCAAAAACTGCAAGAAATATGCAGATTATCAACTTCCATTACCAAAATTCAAGGTCAAATGCAAACAAACAGATCAATTGTTGCTTACCCTAACAAACTTCACGTCTACTAACATTATCCAACAAAAAAAAAACGATTGGACGGATGAAATCAGATTCAATTAACCGTATGATCCGAAAAAATCTAGTTCATAGGCAGATCGACGTCATCGAATTCCACAAACTCAAAAAGAAAAAATGAAAAAAGAGAGACCCAGACGAAAAAGATGTACCTTCAGAGCCCCAGATGTCCTTCAACGCTCGCATATCAAATCGCCGGTTCCGAAAAGCGAAAACAACCCAGCCTGTACCACCATTTAAACAAAAGATCAATCCGTCGCACAAATAGACGATGAAGTAGACAATATCAGAAACCCTAGCAATCTCCGATCACATTCCTTAGGGGAAAATCAAGCATTCCGTGATTTGGAAACGACAATATAAAATATATGGAAACAGCCAAAAAATATCCCACCGAGAGAGAGGAGATGAGAGGAGAGGAGAGGGGAAAAGAGCAGTTTAGGGGTTTTAGTGTCCTCCAAAAAACTTTATGTCCAACCAACGTGTCCACTCCTGACTCCACTGCCCTGCGCCAAAAAGCTACCGGTTTTCCTCTTCAATGCCGAGCCCGACCCGGACCCGGAAGATGGAGGCAAGATAAATTATAGCCTGTTTCGCAGCAGAATGATGGGCGATGCGGCTTAGGGTTTCAGAGGCGTACACGTTTCTGCGATTGAAGGAACGTACGTGATGCGCCCGCGCTTCTTTCACGTACTTTTTATATGGTTTGCGTCTACTCTCAGTTTTGCTTCGCCCGTCGCGTGACTGATCTTATTTATACACTGTAAGACGCAGCGGCTGCGGCACGCGTGAGCGAGTGCTGCTGCTTTTTCGCGTACGTCTCGTATCTTCCCCGTGACAGTTGCCAAACACGCCTTTACCATTTTTCTTTCTTTTTTTCCTTCTTTCTTTTTTTTTTCCTATTTTCATATATCAATAGGAATAGAGATTTTAGCTTACGCACCTTTTGATCGATGGGAGAACCATTCATTGTTCATGACCTCATTGTATTGTTCTTCCATAATTCCTCATCCATTTTGATCTAGGTATAACAGAGGTCTCTAACATCAATTTCAACAACTCAAATTAAAAAATTTATCTCACATCGAGATATCGATAAATTAGTAATCCCTATTTCGACTTTTTGACCCTTCATATTTTTGAATCAAGGCTTGAATCGCGTCGTTCTAAAAATCGACTGGGAGTACTTCATTATAGGATCATGCATAATAATTGGAAGTCCTATTCATGTAAGGCAACTTCAATTGACCATATATTCTAGTCACGTTGGCTTATTTTTTATATGGTTATTAACTAGTATACTTTTTCCAAATTTTATCTATCATTTTTTTAATAAACAAAAAAACACTCACACAACCTTTAAAAGTTGTAAAAGACGCATTTTTGTGTTATTTTATTTTCCTATCTTATAATGGTGATGGCAAAATGTTTAGTTAATTGTTCGTTTTCAAAATATAATATTATATTAATGTTTTAAATGTCAATACAAATATCAACAAAATATCGATGTCGATAGATATATCTAAAAAATTTATAAAATAAAAAAATCGTACACATTATTTAAATTAACAAATAGGTGTCTCATCATTTTTAAATAAGTTGAAAATGATTTATATTAATATTATGTCTATACCAGTGAGATTTTGTTGATATTTATTATATTTTATCTATTTTTTTTGTAATATTATGGAAATGTTGATCTACTTTTCATGTCGATGTTGAACCTATAAATATATGAAAATGTCGATATGTTGGCAGATATTTAATACCATACATTATAGATATTTGGATATTAAATATATACGATTGTCGAAATTATTGATACTTTAATCATTTAACTCTGATTAAGTAGACAAATGAAAACAATTTTTGTTTTTTTCATAACAAATGTGGAACAGAGTATTAAACAGTCAAACATATGAAAAGTTTTTCAAATAGAAAGGAAGTTGTTTTCTTATGATGAGTAAACTTGCTATTTCATTCGTAAGCTACGTTAGATGTAGATAGACAGCAACAAATTAACATGTGCGCCGTTTGTCTTTTTTTCTCCTATCTCTTGAAATCGTTTTTTTAATTAAAAAATCACTCCATCGCGAACCGTACGTTCAACTCAATCACTCTCTCTTGTGACAACTAATACATGTATTACTATCTAGCAGTCTAAGTCTCGATTGACTAGCAGTTAATCGATATAAAACGTTATCAAAATATAAATAGTGACAATTCATGATTTATTTGAGATGAGAAAAAAATGGTGGAAAAATCCCCGTTGAATTTATAAGCAAAAATTGTATTTTAAATTTTATTTTTTAACTTTGTATTTCGTCAAATCTTATATTTTTTTCGTTGTTCATGTATTCGTGTTGACTCATTTTACTCCGTAATTTTAGAAAGTCAATTTTATTTTTATTGTATAAGTCGTTTTTTCCCCTCGTTTATCTCGAGTTCAACGATCCATTCATGATTTAACCCATCAAACGAAGTCGCAGCAATAAAACGACTTGGCAATTTCGCGCGCGCGCGCTCTTCATCTCTCTTGCAGAAGACAACCTTCGAACTAAAATCTGCTCTCTTTCTCTCTATCTCGCCGACTCACTCACCTTCCGTCCAACTCATTATTACCGCCGGCGGATGTTTCCGGCGACAACGACGATTTCTACGGTGAAAAGGATCACAGTGGCTAGAGCGGGATCCAAATTCCCACTGCTCCCTCCCTCTTTCTCCGACTCACGCTAGGTAATCATCTCGCAATCTCATTTTCCTCTCGCGAGTTTTTTATTATTATTATTATTTTCACCGGAATCGTTTTCTTATTCCCTCTCTCTATCGACCTTCAGATGGAAAAGAACCTTCTCTCTGTGATATCTTCTTCGCGCTCTCATTCTTGCTCTCCGACTCCCTCTCTCTCGCGGGATTACTCTCCTTCTGGCAATCGCCCTTCTTGATTTCTCCAACCAAATGTTAGCGATGACTTATGAATTGCCAGTTTTAATGTGTTGCTGTTGGTTATATGTGATTATGTTTTCTATGAAATCGATCGTGAATGGCTAGGTATCGATCGAGAACGAAGTGGACTTGAGAAGGATTAGGAAGTTTTTAAGTTTTCAAAGGACCGGCAGGGATATAAAGTTCGTTCTATCCTCGCGGTACTTATATGTATTTTTCTGTTAGATATTCAAAACTATTTTCAATCCTAACAAATTGTGTTTGGCTCTTTGGGTGGCATCACAAGAGGTTTTTCTATAATCAGATATAAAGACAACATGTATCAAAAGTTTGGAGATGTTGGGACGAATAATCAAGAAGCTGGTGGATGATTTCTAACAGATTCTCGGAAGTAACCTGGACATACGAACATAAGGTCTGTATGAAATAAAGTTTAAAATTATCTGTGGATATTTGTGGAGGCTCAACGATGAAGATCACAGTGTCAGTAATTATTTTTCAGTGTATCTTTTATTGCCGAAAGCACGGCCATATTTGTTCATAGTTATTCAAGGTATGGAAAAATGCACTATAATGTTTTGAACATGTAGCAATTGTGACAGAAACTAGTAAAACAGTCGAGGTGCGGAAACGTGTTTAAGTTTCACAGATAGAACATGAATTGGCGTGCACATTGGTGGTCACCAATATTTATTTAACCAAAGTTTACTATATATGGAATCACGAAACTGCACTTCTACTATTATTACTTGTTATTTAAAGTTTTTTGTTGTCATTCACCCAGATGTTTATCTCAACACAATACTAAGGATTATAATCTGCTTCTATTGGTCCCTTCAGGGACATCGGATAACACGGTTCTACTGTTATTGAAGGAAGGAAACACATGTTAGTCAAAGGTCATATCAGTTTTTATTTGTTTGTATCAGGCTACACTATGTTTTGGTGCAGCTATGATGACTAGAAGTTCTTTCTATAAGATGTTAGATGTTTATTTTCTCTTAATACAACGTTCAAACATCTTTTGATAATACTTTTGCTTTTTACGTGCCCTTGGCCTATCTATCAAAATTTTGGAGCAACCACATCAACATGGCGTGCTATTGATCAAATTTGAGACGATTGATTGATTAGCAATCGTGCTTGCCCAGGATGGATCAAGAAAGCATCAAGGATTTTTCCTCACTCGAAGTTCGAACATGCGACTTCTGGGTAGCATTACTCAAAGACCACGTGCATTCACCAACAATGGGAGAGCCCCTTGGGGACTTTGAACTTTTGCTTCTCAATTTTGAAGTTTTCGAGCATTTTGGACTGTTTTATATATGGCTATATTTTAGACCTACTTATCCATGATGTCTTTCTCTTACCATTTGAAAAAGTTGTCTTTTCATCTTATTCTGTGTTTGACTGTTTGTTGGACGATTCATTCTTTGAGACTGTTGTAGTAACGTAGGTCAAACTTCTCTGTTTTAGCTAGTGGGTCGGACAAATTATCTTGATGTGCTCAACAAGAAGTCAGAGGCGTGTTCCCCCCTAATTCGATCGAGTAAAGAAATACCTAAAATTGTGATTCTGTTCTAGCTTCTCTTCCTTTATAGAAGAAAAGGTATTTCTAGTTTGCATGGTCCAATCACTGACCCAAAAATTTATACTTTAGAAGTTGGGATTGTAGATTTCTCGTGTGAAATTGTGATGATCTTCCATGCATAGTTTGGTGAAACAACTACCATTTGCATGATTTAGAGATGCATTAAGTATTTTTCTCTTGGCTTCTTAATTGAGGGTAGGTCATGGAAAAATGTGCATCTCAACTCTCTTTATCATTTGTGTAGTGATTGTTGAACTAAGCAGTTTCTCGTTAGGAATTTCATAAAATTTTCTACTTCATTTACTATATTGTTATTTTGAAGATCGATTAGTCTGGTGTGTGTAGCATGCAGTAACTTGTTAGAACAATAATTTTGTGTAAGGTATAAATTCAAAAAGGCATTCAAATGGTTGGTCTACTATTTCATTAATAGTCAAGCTTAAAATATATTTTTGAGAATTTGATATGCTTTTTTAGGAATTAGTTTGCTTGGTGTCTGGATTTCCTGCTATATTTTATTTTTTAAAGATATAATGTTGTGCTCTATTGTGTGTCCAGAAAGAAACTTTTGCATTTCTTCTCTTGGCCTTCAATTGTTTTTTTTTTATAAGAATCTGTTGGCCTTCAAACAAAAGGCTTGTTATTTGGTACGAAAGGAATATTGATGTTGCCAAGTGGGTAACCGGAGGCAACCATATATATGTATACTGAGTTTCATTAATATATGTTTGTTATTTCAAAACAATCAGTTGACTCTTTCATACATTCAATTCCAGGAGTGGCATCATTATTCATGTTTTATATATTTCAAGCACTATAATTATAGATTAAGAATCTTATAAAATATTTTTTATTATGTATTTGATAGTAACTGATAGGAGGGTGATCCTTTGACTCCCCTATCAAATCAATGGACCTATCAAATTTTTGGATCACAGATTTTCTTTTGGTTATTTGTAATTATGTTTTCTAGGCAATGGTTCCTGAATTGCTAAGTATTCAAGAAAACAGAGTGGACATGAGCCTGAGAAGGATTGAGAAGTTTTCAATGGATTAGCAGGTAGAAAGTTAATTCTATTCCACGCTGTATTAGAATATATCTTCCGTTAGATAGTTAAGCTTATTCACCATTCCAACAACGTTCAAACATCTCGTGACAGCACTTATGCTTCTATAAAAATTTTGGAGCAATTAACATTAGCGTGCTGTATGAGTGGTTAGTTGATGAGTATTATTTGTTATCGTCTGCATGACCACCTTTGATTGGGTGCTTTTTGGGAAGTCACAAACATTTTAAACGAGAGCATTTTTACATAGACCATTTACGCCTAGTGTTGTTGTATACTTTGCGATACAAGGAGAGCCACGGCCAACTGATGCAGCATTCGATGAATTGGCTTCTTGATCTGCCAAGTATAAAACAAGGTAATGTGTATATTGAAGCACCATTTTTATCAATTTCGAATTTTTTCATCTCTATTTGAAGTTTTCAAGCATTTTAGATTGTTTTATATATTGTATATATTAAAGACCTTGATGATCCATTATGTCCATCTTTCTCGTACAATTTGAAAAGGTTTATGCCTTTTAATCCTCTTTTATGTTTGTTAGATACGGGTTATTTGAGATGTTTGTAGCAATGTAGCTCAAACTTCAATTGGAAAAATTATCTTGGCCGAAAGAAACACCTAGAACCTTGATTTTTAATCTAGCTTCGAAAGTTGGGATTGTAGATTTCTCATTTGTGATTTGTCAGATTGTTTGATCTTTAATATGTGGTGGAATTGCTGTCTTTGGCATGATTCGGTATAGTATTTTCCCTTGGCTTATCATTTGAGGCTGGTCATGGAAAAATGTGCATCTCAATTCTCTTTTCATTTGTTGGTGATTGGTGAAATAAGCACTTTCTGATTAGGTTTTTCAGAAAACTTGATACGTTGGAAAATCTGTATGTGAAGTTTCTGCCTCATATGACTCCTCTATTATGGATAATGAAATTATATGTTTGGTTGCTCCCCCCTCACTTGAAAAATAGGACAAGGAATCCTCATCTAAAATGGAGTCGTTTCTGGATGCTAAAATACTCGTCATCCTCATTATTGATCATATTTGTTAGTTGTTTCATTTGGAGGAATGAGTGACGAGGGAAAGAGTGTGATCAAAGGACAGCAAGCAAGATTCTAGCACGAGAAGAAAAGGATGATCTGGAATAAGGATGACATGAGGATTTTTGTAACAAAGTGAGGGAAAGTGCATAGTTAAGGATGAGGACGGAAACATACAAGATTCTAGCATGGGAAACGAGGACAAGCAAGAATAAGGACGACTAATCAAGAGAGAGTCTGGTCAAGCATGAGGTTGACAGCAAGAAATATTCTAGCACGGGAAATGTAGACGATTAAGAATGATGACAACAACAAACATTTTGTTATCAAAGCAAGGAAAGAGCCTAATCAAGCATGAGGTTGACAGCAAGAAATATTCTAGCACGGGAAATGTAGACGATTAAGAATGATGACAACAACAAACATTTTGTTATCAAAGCAAGGAAAGAGCCTAATCAAGAATGAGGAGGACAGAAAGCAAGATTATAGCACGAGGATTGGGAATAGCTTGTCAATGACTGCAAGGTACTGTTCAAGATTTAGCATATGAATCCACCTTGTAAGATCACTTCATAAACTTTACAACTCGGCATTATAAAATATCATACTATTATATATTATTTGAGGTTTTGAAATCTTAAATTTATAAGACCCCTTGTGGAATAGCAGATACGTTGAAGAGGTAGTCTTTCTTAGAATCTTTATATATCTCCCAAGTGTTGTTATCTCTATTCGTTCATCAGTGTCTAGGCCTGCATATATGCATTTGGACTAATTTCATGAGACAACTACTTGATCATAAAATTTTTTATTATCATAGAATAAGCCTAAAATAAGCCTTAGAAGCAAGGATAGTGCTTGAGAGTTTGGTTGACGGCATCCTTGATGCCCGGATTATTTTATTGATCCTTTATGTTTCTCAGCATATATATATATATACACACATATATATTTATTTATTTATTATAAATTTGTCGTGGAAGAATGGGTTATAATATCCAAGGGTGAGGAGCAGCGATAAATGGCCTTTGATTCAAGCAAGAGGTCTTAGCTTTCAACCCACCTGACTAGGATGTTAAAATATCCCATGGTTTTTCTACCTATTAAATTTTTTAGGACAACAACTTTTCAATTTTGAACTTGGAGCTACCTATGAAGAAGTTATATGTCCCCTGATTTTCCAAACACAGCTAGGTTTAGGTTTAATGATATCTGGTGTTCCATAGAAAAATTTGACAGTCTTTCTGGTTTGAATCAGTTTTCTGGTGTATAAATTAAACTTTGCAGTTCTGTAATCATAAGTTTCAATCAGCTTTTTTGCAAGTGATTGGCTGTGTGAATCTTTTGTATTAGTTCTATTAGAAATCACAGTAAAATGTTGGAGAAGTATAAGATTATCATTTTTGCAAACTATGGTAAAGAACTCGCTGTGACTTTTTCTCTGGGTCAGCGAAGTGCCAATTCCTCAAATCTTATCTCTTAATTGCTTGTCGAAATAGATCTGTCTCTGTTTAACACGTTTGCCTTTGTGCCATTCATATGTATTTTTGGGTCATACTATTTTTCTTTCATGCGGTGGGAAGTTCTATTAGAAAAAAGTTTAAATCCTTAAACTATTTTAGTCTTTTAACTTTTAAAATTAACTAGTTTTACCTTGTCATTATTTTACTAGTAGTTTCCACTCAACTCAATGCTCACTTTCAGCTTATGTGACTTTTGCACTGGTCCAAAATATTTATGTTGTATCTATGTTGCCTAATTTTTTTCATGCTTATTGATTTTCTAGGTTCTTAATTTTAGGTATCAAATTAAATCGTTAAAAATAATCAATATTTTTTCTTTACATGAAAGGCATGTGTATATTTGATGATACTAGTTTCTATATTGATCATGAACTATAGTACCTTTTACATGTTAAATGATTGGCAATTTGACATATATATGTATATGTACATGTATATGTAAAAGACAAAATATATAACGAAGGCAATGTAGTTGGTGGCCAATTTGGTGGGTTTTAGTCTTCAAGAAAATAATTCTTTTTTTAATCATTTGTTGCAAACTATTTGAGCGTTTACCAGTTTGAATTTACAAAATTTGCAACAGGTTGTAATTAATTATTTTCCTTATAGAGAAGTGCCAAGTCCTCAAGTCTAGAAGAACAAACGGCATCGTCATCAAATTTTTTAACAGGACTGAGGCGGCCATGACTCTAGAGTTAACTTCATCTGCCTAACGCTACAGGTTAGAATGGTGTTTCAGCATTATATTGACCATATTACCTCTTGATGAGTCGATAACTTTAGGTTTAAATTCATTATACTCTATCTAGCTAGATCTAATAGAACTTTATGAGCTTCTTCCTCCACTTTGTTTGACTTTTTATGCACTATTAGACCATAATATTTTCTTTTGCTATAGGCGGATATGTGGAAAGTATAATAAGAAGAATAATATTTAGATGTTTATCCGTGAGTAGTTATCTTTATCACCATTCAAATATTGACAGTTAGGAGAGATGGATGCATAAAGGAAGAGAGAGAAAATATAATTTTCTTTTTTTATATATAACTGTCAATTTTTTAATGGTGGTGAGCAAGAAGATACCTACCTACCTACTCACAGGTAAACACCTAAATATTATCATAAAAGAATAGGAGAATTTTATTTTTAAAACTTGCTACTTGACCGAGTGACTCAATCTTTTACCATTCTTCTTTTACCTTCACCAAATTGAATCCTAAATTTGGTTAAGTGGTAAAACTAGATGAATTTAGGAAGACTTTTGAGAGAACATTTATTTTGCATGTACTTTTAGTACTTTGCTTATATAAGAATCCATTTTTAAATGGTCTAAAACTTTAAACAAGTAATTTTAATGGGTTAAAGGCACTCTAGTTTTGGGAAGTTATTAATTAGTTTAGTTCAAAGTTGACTCACCAAACCACATATAAGGGTACAAATTTTCAATATTTGAACCAAGTGATTTCTGTGAATCCTATTTCTTGTCATTTTCAATATTCCATGTCCTTCATCCCATTTATTTGATATTTTCCTTTGACCCTCTTGCATTTTTACTGACTGACTGCACTATGATTTGCCAACAAGTTAACTTTTTTATGTCAAAAAGTCTGAATAAAAAATAAATGAATATTATTTCCTTATGTGACATGCATGTATATATGCATATATTATTATTATTACTATTATTGTTATTAATTTTTTTATGTTGATGAAGTACTTGAATAGCTATTGCCATGTATGTTAGATGGTGGCAATTATATGTATAGACAGGACAATATGTCAATGGAAGCTTACAACAGGCAAGGAGGTATGTTGGCCATTAGTTGCATCTTCTTTAGTATATTCTAAAGCAAAATATTATTAGCAAGTGTGACATCAAAAGTAGATACTTGTTAGTTGCCACTCACAAATTATAATATAACTCAACTTCTAAGCTATATACAAAAGGCTTAATTATTACAGGAAAAGGCAATGGCTTTGATATTTTGTTATAGGAAAACACTCCATATCATCACACTTTTCACGTCTGGTATTAAATAGGAATTTTGATCTAGTAGATACAAAATTGAAAATTTGAAGATTTATTAGATACTTTTAAAAGTTGAATTCAAGGCTTGAGAATTAAAAAAGAATGTTGAATATATCAAGTAAATACACAAAATTAAAAGTTCATGGACTTTTAAAAGTCTTTAAAATCTAAGAATTTATTAACTACAAAATTGAGAATTCTAGATAATTTTTAAGGTTTAGAAAACATAGTGGATTTTTTTTGTTTGTTTTTGTTTTGAGTTTAATGGTTGTGAAGTAGGGGAGAATCATCCATTTTTTAGATGATATTAAGTGTATTTATCAAATTAGACTATTATCGGATTGACATAAATGGCTAGTTGAAGTACATATATTAATAGTTGAAATATAAATGATGACCAAGTCATTTATAACTCTCAAAAATGTCAAAATATTTAGAATAAGATAGTTGATCTTATCTAGAAATAAGGCAGCGGAAGTTTATTAGGTATTATACAATCATTATCAACGAGGATTTAAAATATCAACAGAAACAGACAACATTATTTGATTATTTAGATTTCATTTCTACACTAGTATAGGTAACATTAATTTTTTTAAAAAATTACTCTATTAGTTACTACTTACCATTTACCAGATTAGGTCCAATAAATAGCCCTTCTCTCTTTACCATCACCATTGGGCAAGTAAAGATTCCAAGTCATATAAATCATTAAAAAAAAAAAGAAAAAGAAAATTCTAGTTGGTGGCCAATTTGGTTGGAGAATCAAAGATTAGCCTCTTGCTTTAGTGGGAAGGTAAAATATCAGGACAAGGATTTCTCTTCAGTTCTTGAAATAAATAACATGAAAATCTCAAAATTAAAAAATTAAAAAATAATATAAAGTGGCAGCTTGTTCATGATGCCACTTATAGAATATCGAATATCTTTGTCCACTACCAAAGAAACGTGACTAATTTTTTTTCTTTTTCTTTTTTGTGTACTTTAGTTTTAATATAACATTACAATTACAATTACAGGGTGTATATTAGCCAATGTACTTAAATGTGTTTATTTTTTATTAATAACAATTAAATAAATTAAGTTATGAAGTTAGTTAGAATATTACCAAACACCCAATCAATATATTAATTAAAGTTTAGTCGACAAAATCAACAACCAGAAATATTTGCACGAAATTTGGATGGAATTCTTCACGCAACTATAAAAGAAAAAAAACTAGAAAAAAAAACCCTGGTTTTAGTTACAAATTTGTAAAATGAAAAATGCAACCTATCAATTGTCCTACTTTTGAAATTAATTTTCACTCAATAAAGGTAATAAATGGAAACTTTTCAAAAGCATATTTACAAATTCTCATGGTTTTTAAAAAAATTACTTTTATGGTAATTAATTCTCTCGATCGGTCAAAACCCCAAACCCAGATCTAAGCCGCCGCCGTACTTGGACCGACGCCACTTGGCCTCAGCCGCGCAAACGACCGCTCCCCCACCTCCTCCTCCTTCGTACTCCGGCCGGTTCCCGCCATTCCGGCGACCGGCGCCGGCA